TCAAGTCGATTGTATTTAAAACTTACATTGACTGTAACAAAGATATATACTTTATTAAAAAGAAAATGCGAGGCTGAAGGAAAACTGATATTGAAAAAAGTTTATACAAAAAAATTTTGACAGAATTTAACATGCATTTATATGTCCCCAAAAAGGACACATGCAAATTTTGTGATGCTTTTCAAATCACTTTAAATTCTGAAAAGGATGAGGCAAAATGTATAGAAATTACAGAGAAAAAGAAAGAGCACATCGACATCGCTACAAATGCTAAAAAAACTTGAATTATTATAGAATAGAATGCCTACAGCCGGAAAGTACGAGTGTCTTACTTACTTTCGATTTAGAACGGACCTTTCCATTGCCGTACCTAAGTACACGGGAGGTTCACTATTTAAGATAACTGCACGTTCTTAACTTTGTAATACATTCCTATCAACATGATGGAGAAAAAGTATCTATAAATTTGTGGTATGAAACTAAGCGAGCTAGAGGGTCCCAGAAAGTAACTAATTGTTTATACCAGTATTTTAAAAACAATATTCCCATGTCTACTACAAAATTAATACTGTTCAGTGACTGTTACGATAGTCAAAACTGGAATCTGGTCGTTGTATATTGTACATGGTAAATGTGCTGCCGAATATACAAGAAATTTATGTCTATACAGGTCATAATAAGTATTTACCCAATGAATGTGACTTTTCTTTTATCAGTCGAGCTAAAAAAAAATGAAGTAATATCTATACACCAGACGCATGGATTAATCTAATTATAAACTGCAGAAAACAACCCGTTCCTGGTAAATGATATGGTTAAATTTGTGTCTTTGAACACTTAAACTTAGTATTTCAAGATTATCAAAGTTTAATTCGAATGGGTACTATGACATCTAAAATGCGTAAAATAAAATTTACACAAGGATCGTCACTTATGGAGTATGGAGTACAATGATTCTAGCGATATTTACAAGTTAGTCGATCTAAATAAAACTGCTAATCTCAATGATTTGTTAGAACCACGGAGGAGTTATTCATCACCGCCAGCAACGGAAACAAAAGTTCTGTCTTTCAATAAAATGAAACCTGAGATAATAAAATGAGATAATTCATTATCCCTTTTACATGCCTCTACCCCACTATAAATTCAAACGCGTTTGTTCCTTTTTCTCCGATATTACTTTTTTCTACTTAGATCACTCTAGTTCCAGGCTGGCCAATTTATACTTTTAACAGTTTTTTAGCTAGTAAAGAAACAAACTTACTCATAATCATAACTAAAATCATACTCTACTTCGAACATTGTTTATATGTTTAAGAGTCCACTCTGCCGAAGACATTGCAAAAAACAATTTCACATACGCACTGACAAGAAAATATTCTTAACAAATTATAGGTGCTAGCGATAATATTTGTCCTTGGAGCGAAAATAAATTATATCAAAAAATAATTCAGTTATCAATGAAATTTAACACAGTTATACAGGGTGACGATTGGAAATCGTTTCCGTAAATAATATGTATTATCTACGGAGGAAGAAATTTAATATTTAAAATTTAAGAAATGGAGAAGCTACATTTTATAGAGAAGCCGGTCTCCGGCTTCTATATAAAATGTAGCTTCTCCATTTCTTAAATTTTAAAGTGTTTGTTTGTCTTTGTTTAGTGTATTTGTTATGTCCCAATTTACATTTATAACATTCTATTACTGCTGGATAGGCCACAACTGACGAAATGCCCCTGAGGATGATCTTGTGATCGAAAGTACTTGGGCAAGATTTGATTAACTACTGTGTTCGATATTTGCCTTGTGTACCATCACACTTTATTTTATATTCGGCCCGTATTATCTATTTTTTATAATTTTTTACTTAATTGTAACTCTATAATTGGTATTCGTTTTATAAGGATATTTTTCTTGATTTTTTGAGCATAATAGGAGCTCCTCTGCCCTCGTCATTTGTGATATAATAATATTATATATACATATATATATATATTTATTAAATTATTCTCGACCGTACTGTGTTAAATAATATTTGTAGTCTCAGCAATTGGTCTGTGTGAAATAAAACTCTATTTGTTATTTCTCAATATTTCGTCACGATTTTGTGACTTCTTCAGGAGAAAACTGTAAATTTATTATAATTATTATATGTAAACAAAATGAATATTTCAATACTTACAACTTAAGATTAAAAATTTTAAATTTTGATAACATATCCAATTAGATAAATGACATTTTTTTTGATTTTAATTTATTTGGGAGTTATGGTAACCGCAATATTTTATAGAGTGAATTCCCATTGTACAATTTTTAGCGAATAAGTTTTAATAAACAATTACATATTGTGACAGTATTATCCATATAATAAGGTGCAAAAGTAGAATATTGAGAAAGAATCAGGAACATGGTAAATTGATCTATAAAATGTAATTGATGGTACGTAGTCAGTTATTGGTCTGATGTTGTTAGATACTGATATTAAGATCTATCATATCATATATTGTTTAGTATATTACAGTAGATATTACTTAAATGGTTGGTGTCTGTTTTATAATTGATAGATAGGAGTTTTATTAATGTGTACCATTTCAAGGAAAAGTCGATTTTTATAATTATCAATTTGTTCTAAGATTTTTACATTACTAAAGTCAAAGTTATGTCCTGTATAAGTTATGGCTTAAACAACGTGTCACTCAACACAAAAGTGACTGTAACTTACGAAAAAACTCTTGTGCCTTAGTAGACCACCACTTAAAGACAGGACATAACTTTGACTTTAATAATGTAAAAATCTTAGAACAAATTGATAATTATAAAAATCGACTTTTCCTTGAAATGGTACACATTAATAAAACTCCAGAATCTATCAATTATAAAACAGACACCAACCATTTAAGTAATATCTACTGTAATATACTAAACAATATATGATATGATAGATCTTAATATCAGTATCTAACAACATCAGACCAATAACTGACTACGTACCATCAATTACATTTTATAGATCAATTTACCATGTTCCTGATTCTTTCTCAATATTCTACTTTTGCACCTTATTATATGGATAATACTGTCACAATATGTAATTGTTTATTAAAACTTATTCGCTAAAAATTGTACAATGGGAATTCACTCTATAAAATATTGCGGTTACCATAACTCCCAAATAAATTAAAATCAAAAAAAATGTCATTTATCTAATTGGATATGTTATCAAAATTTAAAATTTTTAATCTTAAGTTGTAAGTATTGAAATATTCATTTTGTTTACATATAATAATTATAATAAATTTACAGTTTTCTCCTGAAGAAGTCACAAAATCGTGACGAAATATTGAGAAATAACAAATAGAGTTTTATTTCACACAGACCAATTGCTGAGACTACAAATAATATATATATATATATATATATATATATATATATATATATATATATATATATATATATATATATATATATATTAGTGTCAGGTTATTCTTCTCCTGAAGCTACTCTTTAACAACATATATTAAAAAAGGACTAAAAATAAGCAAAATAAACTGATTTCATAATCTGATTCCACGAACTCATTCAATAGAGAGCTAAAATATTCATAAACCAATATTTCTGTTAAATTCTGTTTAGTGTTAGTTGTGCTTTTTATATAACCAGCTCACCGCAAGGGATAGGTAGAGTCTTCGAACATTTTTCTGAGTTGTTGAATATCACCGGGAAATAGAGGAGGTCGCCATCGCCTGTGCGCGCTGGCAAGAATACCAAAAATTACCAATAATAGAGCATAGCGCAGAATAATAGTGTGTGCTGTTCTACCACTACTTTTTTGGATACATGTTTGATATTTTTATATTAAAATGCCTAACATAAATCTATTGAAGTTGAACAAAATACTAATCATTAAAAATATATAATTTTGTGTTCAAATTTTATTAAAAAATGTACCTGACTGCAATTATATGGACTCTCATATTAAAGTAACATAAAAAATAATTAATAAGTAAAATTACAGTTTCTCGGAGACAACTTTATTGATGTTGTATCTGACACGTCTGTTCCTTGTAGCAGCTTATCCTTAATTGATTTTTCTGGGAGTGCTAATTAACCCTGTGGTTTTTGCGGAAGTGTTATCTTTAAAGGCAGCTGCTATTTCTCTTGTGAAAAAATGCGTATACTCGATTTCTATCGATTCTGATTTTAAATGTTGTTTTACTTGTATGAGCTTTTTTTTCTTCGAGTGTTTTTGATGTCGCCACAATATGACTTGCTACATAATTTGGACTCACGGCCAGCTCTTTGTTGTTGAATGAGTTTTTCATATCCAAGTTTTCTTATTAGAGACTATACTTTACGAGTTGACATTTGGAAGTATAGGTTTTCTATAGTCTCAGTCAATGTTTGTTGTCTTCCTGTATTTCAAACCACGGATCTGCGATTATTTGGTTACCAGGTTTCAGAAAATTGTCATATGAAATCAACATCAAACACGGATGTATCTTTTTCGATATCCTCTACCAGTTCGCAGGAAAAATGCATTGGTATTGAACCAACTGAAATCCCACTACATGCTCAGATTAAAAATGAACATGGCAAAACAAATAATGCGGTGTTTTGAATATCTCTAAAAGCATTTGTCTTAAAAACCTACAATAAACAGTTGTATCAGCAGAATAGATAAACATACATCTTCCAAATGATATTACGACTATATCGTTGCAAACATCGGCGGTAATGACGAAAGATTAACAATGGAGGAATATCGCAAATGTTAACTCGTGATATCACGACACCTGCATCAGATTACCTACTAAAGAGAAAACTACGGTTTCAGTTGCAAAACAATTATTTGTATACCTTAAATGAGATAACTGCTCTTATAGCATCAACTGTAAAAATATCAAAAATGTATCATTGAAGAATTTAACTAAATAAGTAGTAGAAAATATTTGTACAGTCACAAGTCTAGAGAAAATAGTGTCAAAAGGAATTACTTACCTTCTTAAAGTCTGCGGTGACAGCTCGCCGCTGTCGCTCAAGTCGCTGTCGATGTGCATTCTACCCCCTTCCGTAGCTTTTAGGTAGGATTCTCGTCGAGTTGCCCGTTCATCATCTATTGAAAAAATTGATTTGCTATATTTCCAACACAGATAATTAAGAGTGTGGCGTAGTATACCCTAATGTATATACCGCATAATTAGTATTTGCACTTGGTCTTTAAAAGACGCTCAAAATATTATATTCAAAGTGTAGCTTTTGTCTTCAATTATACTGCAGTCGTCACAGATATGATCCCTAAAAATCATACGCACATGATGAATTTTACCGAGAATGTTAATTTTGGGACCGCAAAAAGATGCAAAATAGTTTACCACTTTACGCTAAATCCCCCGTAGGGTGGTGAAAACGCACAAAATTGATTTACCAAGAATATGTAAGCCGTAAAAAAATGTTTCAAATAAAAAATGTTGCTGAGATCATTTTGAACAAAATGTTCATTGGCACTTTTTTGCCTAGAATAAACCGTTCTCTCAGAAACAACGCTTGAAGCTACCGGCGATTTTGAATTTCAGTTCCGCGCGCGAAATCAATCTTAATTAAAATTTGTATCAACTTGACAGTAAAAAACCGATATCTATTGATCAGAGTGTCCTATCGACAAAAATCAAAATGCGTTTTAAAGGTGAAGAGTACAGCTTTCGCATGCAATTTTCTATTTACCGCAAATTAAGCCAGTTTCTTTAAAACTGTTCAATAAATAAACTTTCCGCGATTTTTGCCATTTTTTCTAGTGGGACAATAAAATTTATCGCTTTCATGAACCAGTCGTAGTGAAAATTCCATTGTTAGAGACCAGTCTTCAAGACCTATAACTTGAAAATTCGATTTTTATTTTTGGCAACAAATATGAGGCATTCGAATTATGACTAATAACGCAGAATTGTAACTTTTACATTATAAATGATCGCACGTCACTGGAAATACCTGCAAGAAACGGTGTTGGGTATCATTTATAGCAGATGTTAAACACTTTTGCAATACGTACTGTTTATATTGTAACGAACTTGCTTATTTCGACGAAGCCCACATAACGGTTGCATCCCGAGACGACGATGATCTGCCCTCGAGAACCTTCCGGATGTATAGACTGGGATGGAATCGAAGCGATAATGCAAGTGAATAGAGGTGGACTATTCCAGAATATTCTAGTACATCATAACTTGTATATATAAGTAACGCTGATATTAGCTAAGTTAGTCGATAAAATATTTTCGTGCTGTAAACTTATAAACATCTTTATATAAATTAGAACCGCTCGTTTTATTTAAAAAACGGTACAGTTGGTGTCACGGTGTCTGATTTAAAAATAAATTCAGCAGTGACTTTTAAAAAAGACTTTTCAAAAAAAGTACATATGTGCCTGACCAAAGATGCTGCTAGTAGACCTTTCAGTAAAACAGTTGCGTGAACAACTAGAAGAACGCGATGAAGACTGCAGCGGGTCCAATAAGATCCTCCAACAACTCCTGAAGAATGTTCTCAACAAGTATGGAGATGGCCCAGATACTTTCCATTTCAATCAGCAGAAGCAGCAGTTTTAACGAAGATCGAAGAAAGTTCTAGAAAGAATGATGAGAAATTTGAAAACGTTTCTCAAATGATCGAAGGATCTTCTAGAAAAAATAATGATAAATTCGAGAATGTTTCCAAAAGATTCGATGAAACATCTCAAAGTATTAGAGAGTAGCTAGACAAAACGACGAGAAATTCGAAAATGTTTCGACGAAATTTGAAGAAGTTTCTAGAACATTCGATAATTTAGAAGAGAAGATCAAACAGCTAGAGAGCATGATAACTAACACTAAAGTGCTAGCACCAATTAATGCAGTAGTTTTAGATCCTGTAGTGAAAGAAGAATCACCTAGAGACGAAACGACAAATCATATGAGATTCAAATTGCCACCATTTGATAGAAAGTCTTCTTGGTTCATATACCTTGGACAATTTAAAGCTATTGCGACAGCCAATCATTGGACAGAACAAGAAAAGGCTGTTTCCTTGACTTCTGCTTTACGAGGTGATGTGATACGAAGCAAAAAGGTATCAGACCTTGTTCACTCGACTAGACAAACGTTACAGAGATGTCCATCTACAAAAAGTCTACAAATTTGAAGCAAATGTTTATCCGGAGGTACCAGACAACATTTTCGAAGAAATTGCTGTAGAAGAAGAAGATTTTCGAAGAATTTCGAAGAAAGCTTTACGACTAGCAAGGCTGAAAGTTTTAAATGAAACGCTCGCCATTGCCTTAAAACACGAAATAGCTAGTTAAGCTTCACGGAGCTATCGAGTACAAAAATCTGAAGAGAGCGACGAACAAAACGATAAACGTCTCGGGGAAATCGTACGGAAAGTAGTTCGTAACGCGATGCCGAAGAGACGCGAACCCAGATGTTGGAATGGGAACGACGTAGGTCACATTTGCCGCAGTCAGAAAACTAGAACAGATCGAACACCGGGCTGGAAAAAATCATTCAAATGCTGATGCTCTTTAGAGTCGACCATGCAGTGCAAATTGTAACCACTGTCTTAAATTAGGAGAACGACTTTGCCCCGTGAGACAAACCACCATCATTAATGATATATGGCAGACTCAACAGATACAAGACGCTCAAGCAGATGATCCATGTATAAAAAGAGTATTGGATTAGCTGTTTCCAAAGCGAAAGATCTTCTTGGCAAGACATTAATGTATGTAGTCCAGAAGTCAAGTATTACCGGATCCAGTGGAATTGCCTAGTGCTAAAAGATGATCTTCTGTATAGAACCTTTGAGAACGTTGATGGTACAGAATCTTAGGTTCAGTTGATTGTACCTAAAAGTAAAGTGTCAGAAGTATTGCGTCAGTTGCATGACGGTGCATCAGATGGACACTTTGGTATTGCAAAAGGTTTGAGAACGGTTCTATTGGGTGAACTGTAAAGATTATGTAAGAAGATGGTGCCGGAAATGTGAAATTGATCTAATGAGAATTATAAGAAATGTCAAAAATCGCTCCACGTTTATTTATTTAACATCTTGGTAAAATCTGTGTTCATTTGCGATAAAATATAAAAATTGCATACAAAAGCTGCGCTCTTTACCTTTAAAATGCATCTTGATTTTTGTCGATAGGACACTCGGATCAAACAATATTGAATTTCTACCATAGAGCTGATGCAAATTTTATTGAGCATTGACTTCGCGCGTGTATAATATTTTTTTCTACATCATACAGATTCTTTGTAAATGGATTTATACCGTTTTTCTGAGTTGTACGAGTGGAGTTTTAGGAGAACTAGAAGTTGTCAACATTTTTGCATATTTTTTGGTGTCTCAAAATTGACATTTTCAGAAAAATTTAGCTTGTTCATATAATTTTTAGAGTGTCATTTTCATCTGGCGACTGGAGTAAAACTTAAAAACATAATCTACATTGCCATTATGGGGTTCCGTTTTTTTTATCTACCGAGTTTATATCCAATACTTTAAAAAGAATGGGTATCATACTTATAAATCGGTTATATATGCAGTTACTGTTAAATGATTATACTGTGATGATTATATAATGATTATTAAACTAAATGTAGTAGAAGGAAGTGGATGTTGTTAAACTAATGACTTACCTAGGTTAGTACTTTTATTTCGCCTCTTTACCACCACAGGTTTATCTTCCACTAAAAATGAAACATGTTAAATAAGAGATAATGATTTCTGAAGACATGAGATAAATGATTTATTTAAAGAAATAAAAAAACAAGAAACTTTAATACTCATTGATGTACACAGACGAGCAAAAAATTAGATTTCATTGACTTAAGAAAAGTGAATATTTCTTATCGCTCGGTATGCCAGCATGTTTTTGTATATGTATATTTAAAACTCCTCCTCCTATTTAAGTTTAATCGAGGCCTATGTCCAGCAGTGGACGTGATAAATGAAGGCTGGATGGTGATATTCAAAACTTTATCAACTTAAAAAATCATGGTTTTTAAGGGTTTAAAGGTGTTTTGCTCAATTTATGAATATCATAGAAGACTCAGTTACTTAACAAATTACAAATTATACAGTATAGGTAAAAGTTTATAGTCGGTATGGTAAAATTTAACAGGATATCTAACACAGATATAAAATCATATTTTCAGCAAATATACAGATAACAATCATATTTTCCCTTGGTCTCCCCTCCATATTTCTCATTGACGCCCATTGCGCATTAGTGAGACGATTAGTTCCGATCAAAAATATTTTACATATCTCTGGTTCCGATCCTAATATACCTAAAAAACTAGAGGTGGGTCGTTGACATTTTTATCGGAACCGTTTTTCGTAAACTGTAACTAGTTAATTGTTTACCAGTAGTTTCAAATAAGCGAGTACACAAACAAACATATTGGCTATTATCGTTTATGTGTATAAGTATTGAAGTTAAAGAAACTAACGAAGGATATATTTATTATAATTTGACAAATAAAGTAAACAATACAAATAGTAAATAGTATTTACTTATTTACTAAATACATTTACATTACTCATTATTAAATCGCGAATCGTCTAAATTGACATTTAAAAACATAAGTTTTTGCACTTTTCTTGTTAACCGTGTTCTTCTTTTATTTACCATTAAAAAAGATTTTAAACATGTGTTCACAAGAAACAGATTTTGCCACAATACTATAATATTTTATGAATCTAGTGGTTAAGTTAGGATATAAATGGCGACGGTTTTTCCACCACTTGTGGGTAATATATCATCAGACAAATACATGTCGACTTCTTTTATATCTCTCGATACAGATGTATGTTTAGATGAGTCATGTCCAATTAATTCATCAATACACCATGGACTTAAGTCATCTTTATCAGTTTCTTTTTCTTGTACTGGTTGATTTTCACTAGTACAATCTTTTTTTTCTTTTTTTATAGAAGTAACCAGCTTCTTAACTCTTTCTTTTGTTTTTTTATAACTAGTTATTCTGATTAATGAATGAGTTTCGATTTACGATTGATCTGCATTTTCGATTTCAAATCTTTATTGATAGTTTGTCAAAGGATTTATTTATTGTAAATATTCAATTAAGAATTCTTTTTCTTAGTCAAAATTATTGACCTAGTATAAGAATAATAATTTTATTTTCAAAAAATGCACAATTGTAGAAGATGCAGCTTTTATGGTCCACTTTCTGAATATTGCAATTATTGAAACTTCTCCTGACGCATTTCTATCCGTTTCGACTACTTCTACTACAAGTGCTGACATACTGCCACCGCCACCCAAGCGTCAAAAGGTGATGGATACTTCCATTAATAAAAATATTAGTTTAGAAAAAAACAGATATGGATTTACTAAACTTATGCAAAGACTCGTTTCATCCGTTTTCAATAGTTGAAGAACGAGCTTTTAAAAAGTTTGCAGGGTCGATTCTTGGATATAACAACTTGCCAACTTCGCCAACAAGAAAAACTTGTTCATTACGTCAAGTTCATTACTTCAGGAATGTTATATCAAAACTAAGCAAATTATTAGATCACAAGTTGTTAAAGAAGTAGAAAATCTCTGTATTACTACTGACCTCTGGACATCTGGAGTAAGTGAGAGTTACATTGCATTAACAGGATAATATTTAACCGAAAATTTAGAATTTAAAACGGTTTTATTAGGCTGCTGCCATTTTTCTGGAAGCCATAATTCAGAAAACATCGCTTTTGAAATTAGTGAAATTATTAATCAGTGGGGTCTAAAACGAAAAGTAAATTTGGCAGTAACTCATAATGCCTCAAATATGGTCAAACCTTTAAAGATGTTTTGGAATGAAAACATTTAAATTGTTTTGCTCATACGTTAAATTTATTGGTGAAGGACGCACTTAAATGCTGTCGTGTACAAATAGATAAAATAAAAAGTCTTTTTTTCGACAATTCAGTAAAAACACATTTCAAAAAAAGTATCTTGTTAAAACATGTTAAAAAGAATGACAGAGTTAGAAGTGGCAATCCGTTCCACATTGGTATTAGTTAATACAGACTTAGACTTGGACCAAATCTAAATAATAAAGACTGTTCTCAACTTTCCCAAATTGTACGGCCTTTTAAAGAAATAACGAGTACAATGAGTGGCCAAAAATACTTGAAGGGTAGTTCAGTGATTGTTATGGTACGCTGCCTGCAAGAATCTTACAATAAAATTTTAGCAAACGGTAACCTTACATCCATACCGACGTAGTACAATTACTAATATCGGGTTGTATTGTTTAGTTTATTTTTCAAGTTATAATAACTATATCCTTCATTAGTTTCTTTCACTTCATAAATATAGACATAAACGATAATAACCATTATGTTTGTTTATGTAAGTACACTCTTACTTAAAAATATTGTTAAACAATCATAGTAACTTGTTTACGAAAATCAGTTTACGATAAGAATGTCAACGACCCACCTCTACTCTTTACCTCTGTCCTTACTAATTCGGTGCTTTAAAGAATCGAGAGATCGGGAGACGAGACGTTGCCAAATAATTTTGTATGAAGCTTTTGTTTATTGTGGCATCATATGCAGTTTATTTTTAATGGGACTAAAGCACAATGTGACTTTAAAATAAGCTTATTTTGATGTTTACATTTTTAATTCGGAAATCGTACTTAAAATACGAAACATTAATAAATTTTATTTATATTTAACGATTTCCGAAGTAGAAATCAAAATGTTATATTACACTTACTGTAAAGTAAAATTGTGGCATATTTCCAATGAAAAACAGCAAGCTGCCATTTAAATCCATTTCGCCCAATTTTGATTATCTTAGAACATTGTTCAAATGCTAAAAAGAAAATAGGTCAAATAAAACCAAAAAGTTTGGCAACGTTAAATTTCCCCTTTTTTTATTATTTCAATTCATTCTATTTCGGCGATATAAAGGGCGAACCTAATATACCTCTCTCTTTTTAAACCTCACTCCATCTCACGTAAGCTCCATACTGACCATAGACTTTTACCTATACTGTATAATAACCTACAAAATGCCAAAAAACCCCAAAAACCAGTTTTTTGTATTTTTGAAGGTGGCGCACATGATGGTTTGTTATTAAATACACAATATAGAAAAAATGAACCTTAGCCACCTGCAAAAAAATTATAGGCATTAAAAAAATGCATTTTTAGGTTATGGACACTCAATATACGGGTCTATAACGGGGTAGCCTTTATAATGCAAAATAACAAAAAAGATTATAATTTTAAATTCATCTAATTTTTTGCTCACCAAGGTAGTATCATGAAGATACGAAAATTTAATGTTATTCAAAAAGTACGTTGACTATTAACAAAACAATGATAGAAAAATATTTTTTAAAATAGTGTTAGGATGGAAAGGATGAAGACTAAGGTTTTTAGAAAAACGTATGAGTTAGTGGTTAATGTTATTTAAAAAATAAACCGTCCACAAAAAAATATTAGCAGTATAAAGATGTCTTATTTCTGCTCTTACATCTCCTAATGCTCTTCAATTCTGATTGAACTAAACAATATCCTTAGTTGCTTCGTGAGCAATGCTTTTCTTGTGAATATATTCTTTTCGCCTAATGAACTTTTTTACATATATTATGAGGACTTCTATTTTAAAACGGTCTACGGAATCCCACTTAATAAAAAAACTCTCTCCTGTTATTTAGTATGTTAGTTATGAAGCAAACCAAACACCCTTTTAATTAATGTAACTCTTAGGAGTCCAATCATTAAACTCACAATTCGGTAAAAGATTCCGTCTACTGTCCTGAATATTGGGTGGTTTTAAGTGCCAGATGGATTTAATAGGCCCTTCCAAGTCCAGCTGAGTTGGCCGAATCGCTTTATGTGCCGGTGCAGGTGTTACAGAGAGTGAAGGAGTAACGGGGATTTGTTCAACAGGTTCGGGTATTAGAGGAGGCAAATCAGCAAATGGCGGATTGGAAGGCGATCGGGATAGTTCCGGAGTCACTGCTGAGTCTACGGAGAAATTGATAGTCTTTAAGTTATTATTTATGGTATTATTGTACAAGAAAAAGATTTTTCTCAAGTTGTTAGTCACAAATAAATAGCATAAAAATAGTGTTAAATATAAAAACAATAAAGATTTTAATACTATGCAGGCCAGGCGAACGAATCGCATTCACTTCACTATGAATGACCTAATAGATCGATGATTCAAACCTTGGCCAGAAAACAAAAAGGCTAACAGAGTAGTGAAAAAACTTAATTGATTCTTTAACTTACATCAGAATACGCTGGTGTATCGAATCGACCTATGGATAATCAGTACAGTAAGAGATACGACTTGCTCGGGGGAGGGAAGGGGGTTCTTATTTGCTCCATAGAATTCTCCCGGACGAGCATGGTAAGTTTATAAAACCGGAATATAGATAGTAAATAGCTTTGACGAGATAGAAAAAAATAGAAAATCACGGTCTACCAAACTATTATCGGACCTATAGTATGTTATGAATACGAGACATGCGTGATGACAAAAAATACAAATGAAAGATGGAAGTCTTTGAAAGAAAAATATTTGGACTAACTAACGAAAACGCAATATGGAAATTCAGGTACAACAATTGTACCTGAATTAAAATAATTATTATAAATTCTACTGATTGTTTAAAGAGGAACAGATCTCAGAATTCGTTAAACTTCAGAGACTTCGTTGGGCTGGTCATGTAGCGAGAAGAGCACTAGATAGAAAAATGCAAGACGCAAGACCAAAATTAAGATTTGCTAGATGTAAGAACTTGTGAGTGTTGGACTTGAATGTTGGAGGAAGAGAAGGTCGAATTTGAGCTGTAGCGCTATTAATTGATGGCAAAAACCTAGACGTAGACGTATATCCAGGCTAAATAATCATAGAACCAATAGACTGGCCTAACGTCAACTGATCTATTTCGAGCTGCTTTGAATATAATAAGATGGGTCAATGTGGTCGCCAACATCACTAGAAGATACGCAACTTTACAAGAGAAAAAGTCATTAAAAACAAAGAGAGATAGAGAGAGAGAGGAAGAGAGAGAGAGAGAGAGAGAGAGAGAGAGAGAGAGAGGAAGAGAGAGAAAAAGAGAGGGGGGAGGGGGAGAGAGGGAGAGAGGGAGAGATGGAGAGAAAGAGAAAGACAGTAGCTGTTTCAGGCTACTCGCGCTCATCAGACTCATATAGACAGAAACGCAACTTAAAAGAGAGAATTGATTCTACAAAATGATGAGGCTGTACATTATTTCTTTTGAACAGTATTTGTTTTTACTACCACCAACAGAGGTGACGACTAATGAAGAAATAAAAATTGAGAAGGAAGAGATTAAAGAGAGCATTAAAGAAATTTAAATAAACAGAAAATGACCAGGAGAGGACAGAATACCGAACAAACTCCTAAAGTACGGAAGACCAGACAGATCTGACCAAACAACTATTAAAACTAATCCAAAAAATAATAGAACAAAACAGAATTCGTCAAAAATGTAGATCAAGCATCCTAATACCTCTCTTAAAAAGGTAGACAAATGGGACCAGAAAAATTACAGAGGAATTGATTAACAATCAAAGTGATAACAAATAAACTGAATGAAATTATAACACTAGCCGAAGAACAACAAGGTTTTAAGTCGGGAAGATCATGCACCGACGCTATATTTATAATGAGGCAAGTGCAAGAGAAATCATTAGAATACAATAAACCGGCATAGCTATGATTCATGCACCTTAAGAAGGCATTTGATTAGGTCAAATTAAAGGACGTTATGCACTGATTGTACGTACGAGAGATACCTCTAGGAATTAAAGTAGAAGAACTAACTGACCCTATTGAAGCTGGTAATGAGATAAGACACGGAGATTCCCTGAATCCTCTATTGTTCAACCTGTTATGGATGAAATAATAAAAAAGTAAGAACTAAAAAAGGATACATAATGGGAGAAAAACAACTTAACAATATTCTGCTATGTAGACGAAGCAATACTACTCTCTTAAAGTGAAGATGATTTACAATGTATGCTGCACTAATTTAATATAAGCGCCAGAAAATTTAATATGCTAATTTCCCCAAAAATGACAAAATGCATGGTTATAACAGCAAATTTACTAAGACGTAAATTAAACCTGAAATTGATCAGAGAACAGAACAAGTGATGGGGTTTAAATATCTAGGTATCACATCATCTAGCTACTGAAAGCTCGAAACAGAAGTGAAAGATAAAGAGAATAGAGCAAACAGAGCCGCAGGTTGCCTGAATGAATCAATATGGAGAAATAAAAATATCGGGAAAGAAATGAAAGGCAGAATAATGACATACGCTTCAGAAATACGGCTTGACATATAGAGGACAAAAAGGATGTTAGAAACAGCAGAGATAAAAACATTTAAAAAGTTTAAGGTAAAACAATACGGGACAGAGCTAGAAGTACAGATATACGAGGTAAATGCAAGGTGGAGAACATCAAGGACTGAGTAAGAAATAGAAGAGTAGAATGGAACGGCTATATAAGCCGAATGACAACAAATAGAGTAATAAAGACAGCAAGAGAGGGTTCCCCAATAGGAAAGCGGTCAGTCGAAAGACCACGAAAACGATGGAGCGACAACTTGCTGGAGGCACATTGAAAAACAGACAGTCATGTCTACATAAAAAAAGGAGAAAAAGAAAATTGTGAGAATCAATAATTTCACTAAAAATCACGGAGAGCCATGGCAGAAAACAATTTCACCCTCGACACCCACAAACCATTCACTAGAATTTGCAGACTCAAATCTTTCAGAGAAAAAATATCTATAAAGGTTTTCTGTCGGTAATAATTATCTGTTCTTGTTTAATTTATATTCTGGTCTGCCAAAGAGCTCTTTTCCATAGCCTACTTAATCCATTAGTGTACAAACAAAGAGAAGAAAGAGAAAAATATGTGTATTTAGTAGCAAGTCTTACCATAATAATACTAACACAAAATTGAAAACTCAGAAAGCAGAAAAAGGAGTTAAACACAATGGAGATGATGGTATTCAGAGAATAGTGAATAGATAACCAGAGTGAAGAAGTAATATAAATTAAAGAATAAAATTAATAATAATATCGTATGGCTTTTTGTGCCGGAGAGATCCTTTCGGATTGTTTTGGTGCCAATTGCATCTTTAACCCTGTTTCAAGCCCAGGAAAACCGACGGCTTTACCGAAGCACGTCACCGTGCCCTTCGAAGCACGGTGAACGGCTCGTATCATTTTTAGAAATGAAAATGTCGTTGTTCGTGCCGAGATTCGAACACGACAGATTAAAGGTAAAAATAAATAATTGAATAGTCACACAAGTGCACGAAAAATCATCTTTTTATTTTATTTGTACAGACAAGAACGGAATGTACAATTTTAAAGATGGTGGATGCGGATCAAGGACATTGTTTTATTGATTACTGTAGCATACCTTTTTTATTCGGGTCATCTTTTGCCTTCCTTCTGTCTGCCAACGAACCAATCCATGATTCAACTGAATTTGATCGGACTCTTGTTGTTAGTTCTACCAATTCTAAATAACAAAAAGAGTAGGAATTAATCAAATGTTTCAATATATATAAAAACTTATACACCACCTACGCATGCGCGAACGCAAGTGTGCGCGTAGGTTAGTGTGTGTGTGTGTGTGTGTGTGTGTGTGTGTGTGTGTGTGTGTGTGTGTGTGTGTGTTTGTTTGCGCGCAAACGCGTCATCTACGAAAACGAAAATGAAACTAAAATCATGGTATCCATCAGGGACAGGTCCCAGAGTCAGAAACATGAAACATAATTTTAATATATATTTGTATTTAAGGTCAGAAATAAAGAAAGCTGAGCAACTATTTAGAATAGCTCGAGACAGTTTCGCCATGTTAATCGCCAACGTCAAGGGGACTTGATAGGGCACGTTAAGAAGAAGATTTGAGGTCTGAATATTTTGAATTGTAACTAAAATCTTTGCAAATAAAAGTTTATTTTGAGTGTTTGTGCTTTTTAAAAAGGTGTTTTTCAAAAGAACATTCATAATTCGGTGTTGTACATCAATCTCCACAGTATAGGAAAGAATGGAGTAATCAGCTTAGGAAGGTCGAGGCTCAACTGGATGTAGTACCGATAATAATAATAATGATGAATTAATATTCAACAGAAGATATTAATAAAGATCAGTTCATATTTTTAATCTACTATTGTAATTCTTTGCGAATTTCTTAGAACTATAAAATTGTAAGCAAGTACAAGAAAATAAGACAGAAGTAGTTAGTAGGTAGAAGTAGACACAATCCAGTTCGGAATTTTAAAAACGTAGTACCTAGTATAAAATCACTAAGAAGAACGATGAGAAATGAAGTCTCATAGCTCATTAATGTTACCGATACCGGAATGTGTAAGATGGTATAAAACCAGAACAGAAATAGAACAATATAATAATGTTAAGTTGTACACATCTTTAAAAAAACATATTATTGCGATTAAAAAAATAGTTATAAAAATAGTAGCGCAAAACAGTTAGGCATCAACAATGTCATACGATTAGTAAACAAACTATTAACTACAATTAAAACGACTCATAATAAAGAGAACATTTTAATTAAGAAAAATCCTTAAAAATGTATAAAATCTAGTAACATCTAGTGATCCTTGATTTGATCAAGTGATCAAGATTTGGTTCAAAGACACTGACTTCATGTTTTTTAATTCAATTATTTCTCTTCGGTCTTTTGTGATACTTTTTAATGACCAATACAAATTTTTACAGTAATAAAAAGTTCCGTGGGCCCTAGATATTTGTTCTGAAATACTAAAATAATAAAGTTTTTTTTAAGATCTCGCAAAGAGTATACAGTGTACAGTGTACTATATTATGGAGTGGAATCATGGACGTTAAATCTAGATACCATGAGACGACTTAACGCCTTTGAAATGTGGACCTATAGAAGAATTATGAGGGTTTCCTGGGTAGATAGAGTTACAAACAATGAAATACTGAGAAGAATGGGCAAAGAGAAGGAAATTGAACTTACAATTAAAGAAAGAAAGCTACAGTATCTCGGACATGTGATGCGGGGCGATAAGTATGGCATCCTGCGACTCATAATGCAAGGAAAAATAGATGGCAGAAGAAGCATCGGAAGAAGACGAATTTCATGGCTGAAGAACCTGAGAGAATGGTTTGGATGCAGCTCAAAACAACTATTTAGAGCTACTGCCTCAAAAATTAAGATAGCTATGATGATTGCCAACCTCCGTAGCGGAGATGGCACCTGAAGAAGAAGAAGAAAGAGTACCGCTACCATTTTGACCAGTCCTTGGATTCAACCTTTGTTGAATGCAATTCTCCAAACCGTTAATTCATCTAGGTAGTTTTTGGTCAATATAAATATACTTAATTTGTCAAATCTAGCCATTTTCCGTCTGCTGTCTAAGAAGAAGTAATATCAGTGTCATCATCCCTGTTTGTCGAATATTAATTTTTTAATTTCTCGTTTATTTGTCTATCAGTGTTCTTACGTTTGCATATCTATCTGTTTGTGTGTACAATATCATTTAAGGAAGAGTCCTAGAATTTTTAAACTTTGAAAGTTGCAGATTTTCCAGACATAGATGCCTAACAAACTCGTTTGACGTTCAATAAAGGCTGTGTTACTTTTAAGTTTTATTCTTCGTACTTTCGATATTGTATAGGTTTATTTCAGTGTAATTTTAAAAATTTATAATCTTTTGTTTTAATTTTCTAATGATTAAGTAAATTTTAAATTTTTTCGCACTTCGATGTACTAGATCATTAAGAAGAAACAAAAATCAAAACAGAAAAATAAAACTAAAAGCTTAAGATCAAAAATATTTCCATAGAAACACTTTCACAGAGAAGTGACGAGCTGACGAGACATAAATCGAACCGATTTGTGTACCAATCATTTGCAAAATTTGTTTCTGTTGATATGTTCTGTCAACTTTTGCCTGCCTCAAATATTTGTGTAAATAAAAACTGGCAAGTAGAAAAGAATTCTCTTGCTTCCTAATTCTTCTCACGCAATGTCACATATGTGCAACAAAGTACTAAATGAGACGCTTTAACAACGAAAAGGTTATGGAGTATGAAAATATAATAATTTAAACTAAAAAATCGAGTATAGGATTGCATTTGTTTCGAATTGTGTCTCTGGTCGCTGTCACATTTTTGTCAGACGGTGTAATGTTTTAAATAACTGACGAATGAGTTATTGACATATGAATATGAAGTTTGTTGCACTTGTATGTGCACTTATTTAACTAGTTATTCTGTCAGTGGGAAGTGAAAAGTTGCTTTTAAGACAGAAGTCAGTAGGCAACCTTCTCTTGCATAATACTTCACGAATCTTTCTTGAACACAAGTATGAATTTCCGAAAAGAATATATCGTTGATATTCTTGTGTTTGAATTTTGATTGCAAAACCCTGATATATACATATCCACTAATTCAAGGAATGTAACATATTCTAGAAGATAATTGGTATTCACAACTTCTGAAACTCTGTCTTTGTATAATTTTTTTCACGCACTAAATTAAATCATTAATTGATTTTTATCATCACATTTTCAAGGATTTTTTAATTAAAAGTAATACTATTAAATATAAATAAAAAACCTGACAACAGTAATGCAGTCCAACAGGTAGTTACACAAATTACAGTAAACTATCAATTTATACAAGGTGTTTGGACATTTTTTTTTTAAATTTCAGTATTGATTGGTGAGCATTTTCAAATAATTCACTGTTTAAATGCAGATTTTTTTATAGCTATCAGCATTATCCTGAGACTTTTTTATGTCCTTAGAGATCATAATAATTATATATCATATCCATACAGCTCCTCTGGTAGATTTTAAAGAACACAAAGAAGTCTCTATATATTCGCAAATATTGTAAAACACCCTTGTACATATGTTAATCTAACTAGCATTACTCAAAACATCAAACTGCATTCACTCTAACCTGATAAGGGTTTGCCCGATTGGGTTTCCGAGGGCGGAGGACAGTGTAAGTATTTGCTTCCACTAGAAATGGTGACATTTCCGGAAAGCCCCTTACCGCTGCCACTTCCAAACAAGATTTCGTTGACGCTAGCACTGCTGGCGTTGCTCCCTATTTAGACCAAGTGGATTTTCTTAAATGTTTGAACATTTCGACTATTTGATGTGGTATAAAATTGTTATAACGAGAATATTTGGTTTTTCCAAATATAAAAACTACTTTAATTTCAGACTTCATGTGGAGTAGAAGAAGGAGGAAAGATGGTGAAACAGATAAGTAGGAAGAAAAAGGAAGAATTATAAAGATTTGTGAGTTATGAAATGGTCAAGAGGAATTGAAGAGAACAATCAGAAATAAGAATGATACAAAGAAAATAAGGAAGGAGGAAGGAGCTGGGGAACATAGGAGAGGAGGAAAAGTATGTGTACCTTGGAAAAGCAATTGGATGAGAAAAAGAATGATAAGTAAAGTAGAGAAAAGAAAAAAAAGAGTATTGATAGAAACAATGATGGACAATTGGCAGCAAAAGTAAGGACGAATTACGAAAGTGGAAATGAGGAAAAAAATAACTAGGAAATTGGGGAGGGGAAAAAAGAAATGCGTAATAGGAGTTAAAGAGAACATTCAAGAGAAATGCGTAATAGGAGTTAAAGAGAACATTCAGGAAAAATATAAAAAGCATAAGGATAGTGAAAGAAGCAGTGGAGCATAGAGAAAAAAAGTATGTGTTCCATGAAACTTGGCACATGAAAACGAGATAGGAAAATAAAAGGGAAAATAAAGATTATTGGGAGAAAAGATAAATAAATTGGGGAAAAGTAAGGAGGAACTATGACAGTGGAGAAAATGAAATAGATAAGGAGTTAAAAGTAATAATAATGACTAAAACAAATAAAATAATGATAGGGGTAGAAGCTTGGATATATAGCGGAATTAAAAAAAGTTTATGTACCATCGAAAAGCAATTGGAACTGGAAAAGGAGAATGGGGGAAAGAGAGAAAAAAGAAAAATAAGTAATAGGAGAAAAATGGAAAAATTGAAAGAAATGTAAGGATTATTCGAAGGGAACAGGATAAATTGGAGGAGTAAACATATGAATCGGGGAGGAGTTAGCGTTCCCTATGTAATCAACGATATATTATCCCGAACTAAGCAAATTGTATTTTTCGAATGTAACAACAGCTTACCAAATTGGAAACATAACGAGACTACAAAGAAATGCGACGCCACATAAAATGAATGTACAGATCAGAAAATATGTTTGTAAGAACAAGGAACAAATAATAAAAAAAAACGATCAAAAAGGCCATGATGAAGATATATTTAGCTAGAAACAAAAATAAATTAGTTACACAGATGTTATTCGTCTAGAGCGTTCATATTATAAAAAATATCAGTGATCTAAGACCGATCAGCGTGGAGCAGCAATTGACGAATATGGTAAGCATCTATTGTCTTAAAGGCATCTACTGGATATCTGTTCAAATGTTATAGATACCAACTTAACAAAATAAAATTGCTCAGATTATTTTCAGTCTGCTTATTTTCACTATTGCTTTCAGAATGAATTTCGTCATATCATAATATTGATAGTATTGTAAATATGATTGTATCGATAAGTAAGTAAATTATTTTTCTATATATAAAGTGGTATTAAGAGCAACATCAGTGTTGCCTTTGTCCGCTGGAGCAAATAGTATCTCAGAAAGAAGCATATAGATGCGTTACTCTTCGCGGGAAATATGGGAACTAGGTGATTTTGCTGCATTTAGACATTTGATGACATCAAAACGGATGCGATTGGTTAAAATTCTAAAAATTATTCGGGGGGCACCTTTCACATTAGAAAAGAAATGTTCAGTTGGAATTCTTTGGGAATGGAATGTCAAGTCAAGACCTTTGTACAGAAGACTATTTTCTGCATATCTCCATTGATGAGAGGGCAGATTGACGAGTGCTTAACTACTACGGAGGAGTAAGTTAAAGAAATGGAAGCTTTTTCTTAGAAATAAAGAATTGGAATTAATTTTTCTACTTTTGAATAAGGGTACAATCTAAAAGTACCCATTCATTCACTCTAAAAATATTGTAAAGTTATACATGATGTGTAAAAAGTGTTTCGATCGAAAATAAAGGCTTTTTCCAACGAATTAATTGCGTTGGCGAACTTATGCGAGATTATCATGAAAATTGCGACGAAGAAGAGGAAATGCGATATTTAAGTAGACGAAATTCTCTCTCCTATTGCCGACCAGAATGTAGCTTCGTCTCAATTTTTTTAAATAATTTAAGCTGTTTGTCCTTGTTTATTGTAGTGTTATGTACAATTTTATGTTTAATTTATTTTATTTTATGTTTATGACATTCTGCGCTTGTTGGATAGCCCAAAACGGACGAAATGCCCCTGAAGATGCTCTAGGAAGCGAAAGTACTTGGGCAAGATTTAATTATGTAATTAATACTGGGCTCGATATCTGCCTCTCATTTTATCAAATATTGCTTATATATGTGATGGATCGAATAAATAGAAGGAATGCGACAGATGTAGGAGGATCAAATATATATTCACACACCCGTAAATGCAATGATAATATTTATCACCGTGCAATTACTAATATTTTAATAACATTTTTGTGAATGTTACACCAATTTTATACCACTATTAACGTAAAAAACAATATTATATTGACTTACAAAATCTATTATGAGTTTACGTCGACCGAAGTAAAAATAACTCACCTGAACTATCTAAAGACCTGCTATCCCTCTGTATCCTTTTCAAAATTGAGCTCGACGAATTCATAGATGTTAAGCTGGTATCCTTCTTAGGCTCCGAAGCTTTTATTTCATAGTCTTGCGCCATTTCGTTGACGTTAGGAACTAACTTTTTGTTGCTTAGTCGCGCCAACTCGCTTCGCGAAAAATTGGTTCGATTCGCCTGAACCGGATCGTCATCAGGTAGAGGTCTTCCCGATTCGAAATCTTTTGCTCTTCGGGACACTATTTGAAGAGGAGGGGAGTATACCCTAAAAAACAATTAAGGAATTGTCTATTGATCTATAAATTTCTAAAAACTTCTATAATTTTATGATAATCAACTCAAATCTTATATTTATTGCTTTAATATGTTTTAAGAAGTGGTAAGAATGCAAATAATTTATGATGCAATAATTCAGATGAAATTTTGAGATCGGGATGTTTAGTTTTTTTACAAATCAGCGTTGTGCTCTATGAAATGATCAGAAATCGTATGTAGCAGTTACTTTAACATAGTTTTGGTTATTCTCTGAATGTCTCTTGTGGATCTCAACTCAGTTTTCCCTAACGTTTTTTCTGTATATACCGTATGTAAGTCATACATCTTGTATATTTACTATATAAATAAGAAAATCTAAGAAATCCAAGATACAAGAACCGTTGTTAACTTCGGGAATTCACAACATATTCTCAGCAGTTGTGGTTCAGTGTACCTTGTAACAACAAAAGATATTGAAAATACTAGTTTTATTAAACAATATCATGCTTAAAACTAAACAAAGACCAGCCGCTGCAAAATAACCCACCACAAAATCCTAAAATACTCGATCGACTTTAACGTAGAGAGGGTTCTGCATCTAAACATGATGAGGAGTTTTACGCTCCGAAATGTAAAACCTCTCACCAGAAGCAGAGACACCGAGAAACCTCTCCAATACCGTTCGGCCCAGCCTAGAGTCCACTATGCATACTTACTACTATCACACGAAGTGAGCTTCTTCTTCTTTTTCTTAGGGTGCCTATTCGTTACAAAAGTCTTTTGTAAGTTTAAAGCCAAGATATTTTTTTCGTCAGTGAGTGGAAGAGTTACGGCCTATGCCTTTGATGTTTGTCGCAGTTACAAACGAAACTTAAATTCAAAAGACCCGAAAACAATGTACCATTACCAAACATTGGTAATGAAAACCATGAAAACTCTTGCTTCCTAATCCACCAGATAATAATTGAATTATGTAATAATACTAATGGAGAAATAAACCGTAATTGGATCTTACCACGCAATACCATTGAAATTTGTTTTACACTTTATTCAGTAGTTGTTGTTTAGATACCTTAACAGAAGGTAGCTTGAGTGTCTCATAATTATTTTGCTGTCTTAATCAGCAGTTTGCCCTCCACGCGACATTACTTTTATCTGTATTTTTTTTTTGCAAATGTGAAACGTTCTAAAATATTATGTTGGTATAACAAGGAACAGTGAACGTGCTAAAGTCTGTACTGAGCGAATCAAAGACAAGGTTTAAAAATTACCACAAAAATCATTAGTAATATGTGATTAGTTCTTGGTATGTTTTGAACGGGTATTTTTAAGGATAGTTTAAACACTATGATGGAATCTTATTTTATTCTTCCGGCAGTTTATATCAGTGGTCTTTGGTTTTCCACGTAGTTCCTGAGCTGCTAAAACGTGTAGGTTATATTCCTCATAGACTAGTACATCGCTCGCATCTTATTTATTTTTCTATATAAGGAATATCATCATCATCCAGCCTTCATTTATCACGATTACGATTTTACGATTTTGTGCTCTTTGTTGCCAATTTTTGGCCACTCTTGGCCTCCAATTTGTAACTTTACTCGCCTATCGTGAGTCGTGCATTCTCACTACATGGCATGCCCACTTCCATTTCGTTTCCGCTATGCGTTCCACAACATCAGCAATACGCATCGTTCTTAGCAGATCCTCGTTTCTTATTCGGTCACGTAACGTCATTATCAGCATAGACCGTTCCTATCGTCTCTGTGTCACTCTCAATTTCGAAGCCGTAGTCTTGGTTAGAGTCATAGTTTCCGCCCCATAGGTCAGGTAATAAGCATTGGTCAAATACTTTTCTTTTAAGGCTAATTGATATGTTGGCCCTAAACGCGTCTCGCAGTTTTTCAAAGGCTGTCCACGCTAAAGTAATTCGTCTTTGTATTTCGCATGTTTGTTATCCCTGCTGCTTCTTATTTCATGACTCAAATACGTATATTTCTACATCAGTTCTACCACATTGTTCATTCTGAGGTCCACCTTCGTACATGCAAAGTCGAATTCATTTAATATATCTGTGGCTTTCCAATTCATCTTAAAGGGATACTCTAATGCCGTTATGAATACTTTCGGAGACAATGTATCTCCTTGCCTTATCTCACGTTTTATTTTAATTGGTCGGGTTTTATCAGGTATCTTACCAGTCAGCATTGTACCATAGTGGCATTTTTGCAAATATTGTAAATAAGTTCACTATACCTATGGTCAATCCTACTGCCATCCATTGCTTCTATAAGGCTGTCTATTTCGATCGTGTCGAACGCTTTATGAAAATCTATGAAAGCGAGGACAAGAGGTTTGCTGTATTCTATAGTTTTTGCAATGAGTGTTTTTACTGTATGGAGGTGATCATTGGTACCATAATTTGAACGGAATCCTGCCTGCTCTCTCGGTTGGTAGAAATCTAATTTTTCCTCCAATCTTGATGTCACTACCTTAGTGAAGAGCTTGTACATGTGGTTCACCAGACTAATAGGTCTATAATTTTTTAGGTGCGTTCTATCTCCTTTTTTATGCAAAAGGATGGTTATAGCATTGTTACATTCCTTGGACACCTCTCTTTGCTGCAAACATATATTGAACAGTTTCCTTAAGGCCGATCCTCGCGATTCTGGGCATAGCTTAATTCCAATGTAAAAGTTTATATCACATAACGCAAAAACTATGGCAGATATTGAGATGATTCTTTTTTATATGAAAGGTCTTAAAAAGTTCTAGTGCACTATTTGGTTGTAAATTAATAAATTATTTAAACAATATTTTTTTTTTCAAATCCTAGTAGCGATTCTCCTCGGTTATTTCTTCCTTGGGAATTTTCGGAAGGATGTTTCTAGCTCTGCTTCATTTACACCTATTTTTACGTTGAAATCGCCACATAAAATTGTGAACTGAGTACGGGAGACATCAAGCGCAGTAGACATATCGTCACAAAAGATTACGAGTTCTTCATCTGTATGGTCTGTTGTTGGAGCGTATACTTGAATAATTTTGAGTTGATATATATTTCCTCTTCAGTTTCAGAATAAGATATGCCACTCTAGATGACATATTTTTGATGTTTATTATTTTGTTCGTGAATTTTTTTATGGACAAAGAAACCGATGCCTCCAACTGATGTAGTTTTAGGGCCAAGGGATATACAATAAAAATAATTACGTGTATTGACAAAGTGTGAAATTTCAAAAGTGAAGCAAAATTAAGAAAAATTCGAAAATTATTTTAATGATTTTGAAATCTAATAAAAAAAAACTCTAGACAAAAATATACTCACTTTCTGTCGTCATAATATGCATCTTCAACTGCAGATCCATTAATACTTTCCATGTTGTCAAAACCAGTGGGAGCCACAGCCGCCTCGTATATTCTCTGCAAACCCACATTTTCCCTTTCTTTCGGAGAAGTGACACCTCTTTGCTGAGGCATATTGCTAACAGCCCCACCTTGTACCGGATATCCGTTCTGATTCGTTCCTCCGCTGAGATCTCGTTCATTATCGATATCGTTTTTGACTCTCATAAAATTCTGGTGGCTCGGTTTCGAACTTCGTTCGGAGTGTTTGTCCCTTTCATTCGGAGGCCATATTTGTTTTTCCATTTTTTTAGGCCTACTGTAAAATTCTTTTCTAACATCGGATTGGTCCACAACGTTTACAGGTGTTCTTAAGAATTCTTCTTTTTGTTGGACGCTTTTCCTAAAGCGGTCCATTATAGCCGAATCGTCAGTTTCATGCCCTGTTAAAGTTAAATTAGAACCATAGGAGGTCACACTATCTTTACTGCCATCTGTTATCGAAGACGAGAGGGAAGACGTTGATTCTCTTCTTCTCTCGACTTCAATGCTATGTCTACAGCTGGGATTCTTTGACATGTCGGTAGTTTCGGGCATGTAGTTACTATTTTTGTATACAGCCTTCATATTGTAGTTGTCCTGACTTACTGGTTGTAGGCTACTGTATTCTTGATTGTAATGCTCTGAATCTGACAGGATGTTCCCTTCACTTGCCCTGCGGCCCATTTTCTTGTATAATGGAACCTAAAATAAAAAGAATCCAAATGTATTAATTAGGTTTCTACATTTCGATGTAACATTAAAGTCATAGAAATATTAACAGACGATGACTATGATATTGTATGATATATTAAAATCATGGCTTGATTTTCTGAAGAACTCTCTCTCTAGTCCAACTTCAAATGTATTTTTTTTCATTCATTTGCAAATTTTTCTCCGAAATATTGACCTTCAATCATCTCTGTAGTTCAATCATAAACTATATTATTTATAAATAAAACTTCTAAACTTACCTGGGGTGCGGCCCTAGACCTTCCAATCCTTTCTGTGTCATGAGGATGAATCTCTGCGTAGATCTCTTGTTGAACTCTTCGTCTAGGAACGTTATAATACAAATTTTCAGCACTGTGCTGTGCCCTTTCGTAACCAACTCTTTGAAGTGGATCTGCTGCTAGCGCGTATGGTTGCTGTTGTAGTGACTTCCAAGAGATGGCATCGACCTGGAATCTTTCCGTGGGAACGTTGGCGAGACGTTTAGATATGATTTGTTGAGCTGTATGTTTATCGAATGGAGGAGCTTCTGGATAGACTTGTTGATTGGATGCTGGATTGTAGGCTGTCTCGGCAAAGAACTAAAATAGGCACACATACAGACATTAATTACAATAATTTTAATAATAAGTAACATACTAACATCGTAAAAAATAAGTTAGTAATACAGAAATTAAGTCACGCAAAGTAAAACAACTGCTGTGGCGGTTCGGTAGTCGTTCCGGTAATGGTAAACGCTACATTATACTTCATGCTGGAAATGATGAGAGTTTCATTCCTGACGCTAGTTTAATTTTTTCGTACACAAAAAATACAGGTGGTTATCATGCAAATTGCAAATATTTTTGAAGAATGGATTGAAGAAAATTTGTTAAAAAAATTGGAGCAACCACCATAATAGTGTTGGATAATACATGCTACCACTCAAGAGTAGAAGAGAGATTTCCCTCAAGCAGCTGGACAAAAGAAGAAATAAAGTGGTTGACAGAAAAGAAAATTTATCACAGTGATATATTTTTAAAAGTCGATTAACTTCCAATGTGTAGAGAGTACAAAATTCAAAGGAAATTTGTTACCGACCAAATGGCTCTTAAATATGGCCATGAAGTTGTGCAACTTTTAAGTCGTGAGTAAAATCCAATATTATTACTGAACATAAAATACAGGAAATTAAAAATTTGTACTTTTTAAGCGATCGGAATTAAATATTAACGCCCCACTGTTTGATGCCTACTGATCATATCTTAATTGCATATATTAAGATATATGCAATTACAAAATAATTAATATAATATAATAATAATAATAATAATAAACTCTTTGAATTTATTTTGGTGTTACAGAAGGATCCTACGAATATCATGTGCTTACAGAATGTCAAATGCAGTAGTTACTAGAAAAATAGGAAATGAAGCTGAAATAATATTGTCTATCAAATGAAGAAAACTTGAGTACTTAGGTCATGTAATGAAAAGACAAGGATACTTCGATAGAAGATAAAACTTAAAGAAGATCATTTTTAATTTTAGGTGCACTTTTCTATTTCGGTAAAAGGTCTATTTCATTAGACACTAAACTCAACAATGAACAAGAAAGAACAAGGGAACGTGTTGATAAAATAACAAGAAAATGTATAGCGAACTCCTACAGCAGGATATGGTTACCGATATTAAAAGAAGAAGCCGCTACATTGAACGACAGGTAACAGGACACATAACGGTGTAACATATAGAGGGACACATTATTTATAACTTAAGAATAATTTGTCACAAAAGTACCAAAAGGCATACATGATCAGTGTCTGATGTCCATGTAGGGATAATAACAATTCCATGCAAAGAGTTTACTTTAGGAATGTAATATATTGCTGAATCATCATTGTGAGCGAGGCAGATACAGTCGAACTGTTAGAAGAGTGTATTAACACCGCCAATTGATAGCAAATCACAAAACATATTATTAAGTTATTTGCATTTTAATGATTTCCGACCCGACATCAAAAACTCAATAAAATGATTGTATAATATCGACACTTACCCTTTGTAAAACGTCTTCTTCCTTAGGAACCACCAACAGATGAAGATATTCTGGACTCTTGACGATTAATTGCACCACTTCGGAGTACGATCTATCTTTGACCGCAATGCCGTTAACGGCGATCAATCGATCACCCCTTTGTAAGCCGGCCTGTCTAGCTGGACTCCTCTCTTTGACGTTTTTTACGAAGATGGTGTCCATGGGAGTGAGCAGAGCACCCACTGCAGCGTGCCTTGAAGCATATTGCTCCTAAAATATGAGTGATAATTTAACATTGGTTTACAAGTGACTCGTTCTGGCGAACAATCATTCAATTGATATGAATAATCACACTTATGGTAATGACTGTTTTCTAATTCTTGAACTACATAATAACATGTTAATGCAACAACATTTTTAGGAGATATGTTCTATCCGGAGTATTGTAAACATTTGATATGATATAAAAAGAACTGCGTGAGTATTTTCATTGAGAAAGTGCGATAATTTACTTATGGCAATTACAAATATATATCACTGAATCGTTTTGTATTTTAAATTGGCCAGTACATTAATAAAAACAAACACTATTTATAGTTTATTTTACGTCAATTTATATATTTTGTTTTAATTTAATTCATCTAAATATTTTACTCCAAAAATATTGTTTATTTTGACTGTAATTTCCAAAAATCTATGATGTGCAGGAAAATTTATTAAATTTTTATTAAATCTATATTTGTAACAAATGGGATGCACTTAATATAATATGGAAATTTAATATAAGGAATGGGATGCATGTAATCAAATCGTAAAATATGTAGAAAACCAGGTCCTATGAAGAAAAGTGTTGCTTAAAAGCACTGGTGAGTGTTCAACTTGATGAATGTTCGCAAGCCACTAGAAAGAAGAACCATGTATACACGCTTATACAACAAAGGAAAATACGAACAACTGTTGAATACTGTAAGCACGTCATGAGTTGCTGCTGAACCAAACTGCTCACGGAAAACACACGAAATAAGGCATCCGATAAGAATGAAACGCATGTGGCGACAGGTTTCAGTACAAGCAGACATGGCGACGACTTTAACGAGAGATACGTCGGACTACCGAGCGTGTTAGTTGCAAAACGTCGTAGTATCAAGGGTGTACTGTATTAATATTTACTTCAAGTCCTTGCTCTCAGCTGAAATATATAACTTAACTCTTACGAACACCCAGCCATTATATGTAGTGGATTTTAACAATCATCATGAGATGTGGAAGTACACTCGACAATGACAAAAATTTCTCGTCCTTTTGGGTTGGTCAGAAGAATATGGCAACCATCTTTTATTCGGCGCAAAGGATAGAGGCATTTTCTGCAGATTGGAAGAGGGAAGTAAGCCCAATCTTTGTTTCCTTACAATTGGCAATACATAGGCCAACCTCTACTCTATAATAGCATTAAGAAAGGTATTGTTCGATTTACCTCATAGTCAGCATCGCCCTATTCTGATCAAAATCGTCATTAAAATTCCAGTTACAAGATGGTTTCCACGCTCCAGATGGAACCTCAGGAAAGTTAACTTATATGCTTTATTAAATTATAATATTCTGCAAAAGTGCGATACCACATGACTTACTTAGATCATACTTAGATCGACAGCCCTAGGAATTATGCATCACGTTGCAGAGTACTGTGCACCGTTGTGGCCTCTTATGAGGAAGTATAGAACAATTAGCGCCTACGCAGGGCTCCGCTCTCACGTTGGCATCACCGGCAGAGACACAAATAGACTTTGCTCAAGAAATAACTCTCCAGACTCTTCCTAAATTCTAATTAAAAGAAACTTCAAGATAACCGACCGTTGACGAGAATAATGGAAGAAGAATGGACCGCCTGTCACTCGGAATATGTGATGTATTACAAGCAAGCCACACTGAATAAGAATAAACTATGACAGGTGCCCGAATTACTTTTCAGGTAAGGAAAATACACTCGCCAAAATGCGATTGCGGTGCAGCAAGAAATATGGTTAAACATTTGGCAGAAAAAATACTCGTATCATCTGTTTTAGTTGCGGCCAAAAAAGAGTCAATTGAATATATTTGTCAATTCAATGTTTGTTTATAAAAATTAAGTATTGTTATTTGTAGCTTGTAATGTATTGTCGTCTTTGTTGATACAGAGAACTTACTTGTGATGTAGCAATATACTAAATAAATAAAATAAACAAGAAATTAACTGTACACGCCAATGTTTTGAATTAACCTTAAATATTTTTTCAGATGCGGCAACGTAGCAGTGTCTGGTGACGATATGGGATCTGCCATGCCGTATGCGAAGATTGAAGGCAAAAACACTCGTAATCAGAAGTCCTAATAAGAACCAGGCAGGCGATTGTGATGGAGAGTTAGCGAAACACACAGCGGGACGGACGCCTTACCGTTCAAATATTCAAGCAGTTTTGTATTTAATTCAATAAAGTTTTCATAGCAAACCAGGTTTCATTGTTTTTACCAGCGGCACATATCGTAGTGGAAATCAAGTAACATTCACTGACGAGACAATACAGAAATAAAGAACAAAAAAGCTTTCTTATGATAATGATTACAGAATTCTATAGCTCTGTACCAATTTATACATGTCTAGTAGAAGGGTACCAAAGTTTTGAAGTTACTTGGTAGTCTCCATAAAGAGATTGTCACTTACGATCTCGTTTTTTAAAATATGGTTGATCACATAATCTGTAGCTGCAGATGCCGATAGTTTTAATAAAAGATCCTAATTGTGTGCAGGTATCCCTTGACCAGTACATATCCAGTAAGGACGCCTGCTATGTACTGAGCTTATTTTCACTTGTTTTCCGTAGTACTTCAGCCCTATTAGCGCATGTTCGTCCAATGTAAATGTTGCAAAGGTCTTGAGCAGATATACTTTTCCATTGGGAGATATGGTTGGTTATTGTTCGGATCCAAGTTCTTTTCAGACCGTGGGTCGGACAATAGTTTTCATATTGTTCTGAAGCTATTTTCTTGTGGCATTTTAAATTAATTACTAATTAACTGGGAATAAGCCACATTTAAAGGTGAAAATACGTTTATTGACGTTTAAATTTCAACTTCGAAAATCGTTCTCAAAATATATATATATATATATATATATATATATATATATATATATTATATATATATTGTTATGATTGTTTATTTTGAGTTCAAACTTAGTTTATTGAGCCAATAAAAAAGAATTATAACTTATTTGTTATCAAAAGTAAAATAATCCTTATATTACCTGTGTTCGATGGATTCAAAAGATTTTCCAGTTGTCTTTTATCGGGATAGAGAACAAAAGGATAAGAATACAAATATATTATATTACAAAGATTTACGTTTTTTTATTTTATATGAATGAATAAAACAATTATTAAATTCTGTCGTTATCTTATCAATCAGCATACAAGAAAATAAATTAAATTATTATGATAATAAGATTATAAAGCTACATACATTTATATTACGTGAAAAACCAATTTTACTTAAAATTTTCTTTACTTGAAAAAAGAAACCACAAAACTTTAAACTTTTGATTAGCCTAACAAAACCTCAGTTCTTAAATTTAAATGATATTGACCATGATGTCGAAACGATCCTTCACAGATATAAAATTCAATTGTACAAACACTTACAGTTTATTTTCTTCTTGAGTTGTATGTTGGAACATACCCAGAAAAGTCCAGTCTCCTCAAATATGTGATCTCCCCTCTTTGGCACCTCGGCTCCTTCTTTACGTCTCTGCAAACCTCCTTCAGACTACACAAAAAACACCTGATTCACTTCTCCAAACTCCGCTACTTATTTATGACACCAGGACCTCCTTTTGTCAACTTGCTGCCGTAAGAATACTTTCACATATACTTTATAAAATGCCCACGGTAGATACAAGGACCTCTTTTAATCCACTTGTTATCTCCTTCTTCAAACTATTCACTTCTTTTCGTTACGCCGGTATCCAAACTCACGAACCACACCCTATCTTGAGACAAACGACTGTTTCCTTTCGATGACCAAAATATGACTAACTTCTCCTCTCTCATGATCGACTCACCAAATTCCCATTTAAAAACGACCGTCCAATCAAAAAGCTTAAATTATGTTTACCATGATTTTGGAAAAGCCTAATTTCGGTTTCAGAGAAAACTAAATAGCTTACTTTAAAATTTGTTTTTTTTTTTCAATACATCATTTATACATATTTCAAAAGATTAAAATATGGTCATTTAATACTCGACTATACAAACAATGAAAAGATTAACTTACAGGTAAAATGTCTTCTAATTCTAAACAAGGTTTTTTGATAATTTTGTTTGAAACGGAAAAAGGTCGTTTGCCAAACAAATTTCTATTCTTATCTACACTAAATCTTATCTTAAATTACTATATACAATTTGTTTATATTGATATCTTGAAATTTTATTTCGATGGATTTTTTATTTATTTTTCTTTGGTTGGAAAAGAAAAAGTATGACAATATATATATATATATATATATATATATATATATATATATATATATATATATATAGTAGGGATCTATGGAGGAGTATCACCTAGCCGCAAGCCCTTATCTCTTGCCGTACTGCTCCACCATACGCCGATCAGATCCCAGCATATTCTAGTCTAAGCCGTAGATTAATCTACAATTTTAAACTGCTGCGTTAGACTTTTTGTTTTCTGTACACCGAGCTGGGGCTCGATTCCACATCCACTGAACCATTCGACAGTGAAGCGAATGAGAGGCAGCCGCACAGCCCGCTGAGCTATCTGACCGACCGTTCTCAAAATACAAACAGTAAATTAAACACATTTGGTTTAATTTACTGTTTGTATTTTAAGAACGATTTCCGAAGTGTAAATTGAAACGTCAATAAACGTATTTTCGCCTTTAATTGTGGCTTATTTCCAGTTCAAATATTCAATTAGTAACAAATACTAATTACTACAAATAGTAATTAATAGTTTTCATTGATTCTTAAATTATGCAGTGTTGTCCTAGCTTCGAATACTCTTTCATTTCATTTGCCATTTTCGGTTTATAAGTTCTTTAAACTATATTTGTGTTTCCAGTACTAATATAAAATTGCCAAACACTTGTTTTCTTTACTAACTTAAAAAAAAACTTCATTCTACAGGCTCATATTGTTTCTATAGTCATAGTCTCGTCAGTTTTTAATTTTTTAATGGTTAGTAATAAACTAGTAGAATAGCAGTTGTTTTTAGTAAATTTTGACTAAAAAAAAAAAAAAAAAAAAAAAAAAAAAAAACAATACATACAGC